GGTTGCATACCTTATAAATAAGAGTGATAACATATGCATTTCATCGTCTCAAGATCCAAGAAAATTTCTCAAAACTCATAAAAGTGTGTGAAGTAGTGTTTGGTTGTAAAATACAAATACACTAATACTTGTTTACTCTAGTAAATTACCATTGGATGCCTTGTAGTTGATTATGGGACCAAATATACGATATATTTTTACAAATTTTCTAATGTAGTTAAGCCTTTTTGTTCTTTAAGCTTTTTTTGGATTCGCTCACATGTGAAGAATCGGACTTGGTCATTCATAGTTATAATGCACTTTGCATTTAATGTTTTGGGAATCTATCATTTCAATGGTATTGTTTAGTTAATTGTCTATTTTTTAAAAATCATGAGCTCACTTAGCATAAGCTAATGTGGATGTATTATAAGTTCTAGGCGATAAAGAGCCTTAAATGTCGGTTTTTGGGCATAAAAGATTTCTAGAAAAATTTTAATATGTTCATACATTTTAGAAGATGGCTACTTTTAATGTATAGTTGTATAGCTGTTTCGAAGGATAGTAACATCTTGAGATAAATTAATTAGATTGAGGTGATAATCTAGTTTAGTTATTGGTTGCTAGTATGTATTTCATTATACATTGTAAGAAATACTCCATCTATCCTGATTTTGATTAGTTTTTATGGTAAAGGTCCAACACTCATTATGTAGTTACCATTTTCATGATTTTGAGTAGGGGTGAGCAGTGGAAGTGTGTATATGTCTTCAAAATCATAACGCATCAGAATTGTCAAATCGTTGTAAGTGGTTCCGTTTCTGGTTCTTAATTACTGAAACTGATAAACAGTGGTTTCGGTATTGGTTCTTGGTTTTTGGAACCGTTACCCGCTAAATACCCTAGCTAGGACCTATATTTGTGATTATTTTTGGACATCTCATGTATTGCAAAGTGTAGAACATTTTGAAAATATTTCATTTAACTATATTACTAGGAGTTATATATAGTAATGCTTATCTAATAAATAATGCTGCAAAAGTCGCTAGACGGTACTAAGTCGTTGACTAGCGACTAATGACTAGTCGGAAACCCTAAATTATAAATTCGTTAAATGTAAAAAATTGAATACGACTTATATCATAATAAAGTTGTTAAATACCATCATGTCATAACAAAATAGGTTAATATAATTAATACAACACTAATAATATTCAAAAAGTTTTTATTGAGTCAGCTTCTATAGCTTCACTCATTGTCTAGACATCGCCAAGCATCTTGAGTCGGTTGCATACCGCCTACTCGCCTAGGGACTAATCATAAATTAATCTGGGAACAATCAAGATTTTTACAACATTGTAATAACTATCCAACGCTAAAGTTGTGACTCATATAAGCCAAATCTCTCATTCACGAGTTAAATTATTAAATGTGGTGAATGTTATTTAAATTAAATATTAGGTGTAAGACTCATATGTTATACGGGTTTCATAAAACAAAAGATTAAATATGAAAGTTTAAATAAAAATTTATTTAAATTTGAAATTTTAGATTTGAAATTTAAAATTTAAAATTTAAATTTAAAAGGAAACATATAAATACTGAGTACTAATATTGTAATTTATTGGTTATTTTAAATTAAAGCAATTATTAATTGAGGTATAAATATGATGTATTAATTAATAAAATAAAAAAAAAATGAGAAAATAACAAATGAAAAAAATATTTGTTCAAAAATACTAAAAAATAACATGTGTCAAAGTTAATGAAAGAGTGACATGTGACAAAATTATTTTCATTTATTAGGAAGGATATATATCAATTGCTAAGTTTGTGATACAACATCCTTACAATAGGGGCTTACGATTTATAAATTAAAAAAAAAAAAAAAAAAAAAAAATTCTGATGATAAATTTAGCATAGTTGTGTCACGATTCAAATAACTTGTGACTTTTCATGCCTATATTGGAAGCTTGACAGTTTTAGCGGCTAAGTCCTCAAATGGTAAGATTGTAGTCTATGCTGTTGTTAACTGTGGATCCATTTCATATCTATATATGGCTAAAACGGTATGTCTCGTGTATCTCATATCGATTGAGGGAATAAGTGAATTAAAAGATGAAAGCATATAAAAGACGTGATGGAGCTTGTCAATAATTCTAGGTCCGAAAAGAATATTTTAGTTAGGTTGGAGGGAGTGGTGCCACCGAAATCGTACTTCCTCCCCCGTCACATAAACGTCATGTCACATTTTACCACCCAAGTGTGGTTTCATGCCACACTAAGGGTGTGATGCCACACTTTTTATTTCTTTTATTATTTTTGTTTTTTTTTTAAGTATTTTAATTTAATAAAACTTTTTTTTAAACTATTTTAATTTAATATAACTTCTATTTTAATAAAAAAAACATAAGTTTTCATTACTTGAAAATTAAAAAAAAACAGTAACTAAAAAAAACCCACACACATGACATTTAAATAATTGTAGAAACTTAAAAAAACGTAAATAAAATAACTAAAGCAAACTACGTAAATTTTTTTTGAAAGAGTGGTGATTTTAAAAAAAAATAAAAATTGAGAGAGAGAGGAGATTGTGTTGTGAAAAAAAATTAAGTTGGTATATATATATATATATATATATATATATATATATATATATATATATATATATATGAAAGAAAAAAAAAGTTTAAATGTTGAACGGATCAAATCCTTCCTCAACCAATCAAAACACACGTCTTTAAACCGCGGTCTGGGGGCGGTGTTCCCATCCTATGTGGCACGAAGTGCGGTCTTGGACCGCACCCACACCGTGCAGTCTTATGATTTCTTTTTAGTTAGTTCATTTGTTTTCTAAAAGTTTGTTCTTGGTAATTGAACCACCGGTTTTGGTTATAGGAATGGTTCTAAGAGTTTAAGAACCATTGTAACTGGTTGCGGTTCTCGTGTTGCATAACCCAAGATATATATATTATTGTGCAATGATTAAATTTGTTAAATTAAATCAAAAAGTTGGATAAAGGGTGAGAAAAACACAAAATAATGGTCCTTGACTCCAAGGTGTTGCATAGCCAAAGATATATATATATATATATATATATATATATATATATATATATATATATATATATATATATATATATATATATATATATATTATTGTGCAATGAGCTTTTAAAAAAGATAGATGGACAAATGAAAATCATCGACTGAAAAGATGTCTAAAAAAGTAAAGAAATATGTATTATTCATACTTTTGATAAGAGAGATATTCAAGAATTCTTATATAATGTGTCAAGTTCAAATTTGAACATCACCTTTAATTCCTTATTGTGCAAATATTACAATAACCTTCCCGTATTGACCAAATGACCAATTAGTGTGTGACACCTAAGGGTAGCATTTACCTTTTCCAATATACAAAAACTAACATGATAGGGCTAACGAAAAGCCAAAGAAAGTAAACTAAAGTGATGTTGAAACGAAGAGACTAGTAATTATCCGACCAAAGTTGGTACCAACTACCAAGGACGTGAAGGGAATGCAAAAGTGACACAGTCAAATGTAAGATTTGCAATCTAATGATAGCATGGTGGTGGATAATATATTGAGATAATGACCGATATTTAGATTTGATATCTACATCAAAGTGGTATGGTTGATGACATTTATTTAACCAATTTGAAAATGTTTGGAAATTTATAAGCAATTGTAAGTCGGTAATTTCTTTTTGTCCCATATTAGTTTGTAATAAGTAATTTGTGTGCCTTTTATAAGACTTCTGTTGCCTTAAATCTTCAAAGACTACATTGGATGTAAGAGGATGAAAGGTTTTCAATTTAGGTGCACACTGCATGGTTTGTTGGGAGTCAATGAGTTTTTGTTTTTAGCTAAGTTTAGGTCAGATTAAACTTGAACCGATCATTGATGGTTGACTACAAGTTTTTCGAATTCGAACTGAGAACCTGTCCACCATAAATAGGATCCACTCGTTCCCATTTATTGACTACCGCCACCAAACCTCTCTCTTTTTCTCTCTTGCGTTTTTGTTTTAGCTGAGTTTAGGTCGGATCAAGCTTGGACCGACCGCCGATGGTTGACTACAAGTTTTTCAAATTCGAATTGAGAACCTATCCACCATAAATAGGATCCACTCGTTCCCATTTATTGATTACCACTACCAACGGGAGATGATTTGTACACAACAATTTTTTTCACACACAACAATTGATACTTTAAAATGTTGTACTGTACAACTCTATAATGCATACATTGTTGTGTATGGTAAATAATTGTTGTATACGAATCACTTCCCACCACCAAAACCTACCACACTCTCTCTCTCTCTCTCTCTCTCTCTCTCTCTCCCCTTTATGATACAACTTTCTCTTGATTTCGTAGCATTTGTTTTTGTGTTTATCGATTCTTACATTGTTGTAGGAAGGAATGATAAATGCACTAAATCCGAAGGTTCTACGTTGCAACTTATGCCCATTGGAGTAAGTAAAAACATTTAAGAACATGAGTCATTACATGTAGTTACTAGTCAAGATCAACAAGTTTTTATCCATGTTGGTTTTAATTTTTGTCTAGTCTTTTTAGTTCTTCTGACAACATGAAAATCTTATTCTATCTTTCTTACAGTTAGATCTGATCGCAGAAAACTAAGTTTTGCATAAAACTTGGTAAACACATAAAAAGTAATACAAATTGAATTTATTATTTGCAACGAATCGATATATAATTATAAAAATTAATTGTTTGTCGATTCGTTTGATGTGGTTGTTACTAAAAATTCGAAATTAGTTTACAATACTAATCACACGATTGTTTGTCTATCAAGTCTACGATTAAAAGAAAAGTTTATTGCTTTAACTATAATTATGTTGATCATATATAGATTTATAAGATACTTAATTTTAGACAATATTAGTCCCTCGGATTTTTTGAAAATGCGTAAAACAACATTACATATTTCCATCACACTATGATTAATTAACATGTTACTAAGATGAGCTTAATTACACCACATTTGGTATCTCATCCATCTTTTCCTTCGATTTCCCAAACACGAAATCAAGATTATAAAGCATTGGTACCATGGTGATCGAACACACAAAAACAAGCACAGGGCCAAAAATCCAAAGCATGAGCGGAAGTGCTGAATAGAAGATCCTGTTCCCCATAGCATTAAGTGTGAAACCCTTCTCTAAAAGCTCTGAAACATACTCACAAGTAACTGTTGATTCAGGTGGGCAGTTAATCAAGAAGTTAACCTGGTTAATGAACCTGATTGATAAAGAGTGGCACATGAAAGATGCAAGGAAGACAAGCAAGAGTGTCACATATTTCAATGCTACCATAAATTCACCATGAGCCCCATAAAGAGCATCACTGATTGGTTTTTTAACGCTATATGTGCTGCTAATAACTGCTGCTAGACCTGAGCATAGAAGTATCGATGTTGTAGCCATGAGAGTTGCTCCCATTATTGTGTTTCGAAGTGTCTGAACGGCTAATATATTTTTCTTCTCGTTATCCTGTTAATTATATAGCAAAAAACTAAGCTATATCATTACACCTTAAAAGATATTATGCTTTATCATCCGGGACTTTAAATTAAACGTTTATTGGCATGTGTTAACAAAAAAAAGATGCATATTTGTGTTCGGATGTTTGCTGGCTTATGTTTTATTTTTCTAATTAATTACAAAAGCATTAACAAATCAAACTTGTTTATTTCATTTTATGCGATTTGCATAAAAAATGTCACGTTATGATTTATAATAAAAATCACACATACACATACATATGTTGAGATTAAACGGATACACAAACTTGTTGATATGATCTTGTCATTTGAATAGATAGTCAAATGGCCCAAAAATTAATTTTTTTTTGGCTAAAATATTAATATAAATGACGTGGTCAGCATTATTTAGTAAATGATCTACAAATAGAAAAGTACATATATGATGACTTCTATAATAATTCAATTATAAATTTTGGGCTTTTGATTTGTTGGCTGAAACTAAATGTAATTAGTAAATATGGTAATCATGAAGAATTGATGGATAATAGTTAAATAATGCGATCTTTTAACTTATAAATATGCCAAAGAAACGACTTTTCACTTTCAAAACAAAATTTAATAATTGTTTTATAAAATATAAACCTTAAAATAGTGATCCTGTAAATATAAATTATAAACCAAAAAATACATTAACATTGTATTTTTTATATTTGTCCAATAATTAGTCTTTTTACATGTAACATTAGAAAACACAAATATATAAAGATACTAGGTGTCAGATCCATGTATTACATGAGTTTAATTAAAAAAATAAATATAAAATTTTAACAATTTGAAAAGTTTGAATTTATAAGGAAAAAAAAATTGAATTATTAAAATTAATAAGATTTTAATGTATTGAATACATTACATATATAAACTCTTTCTAATAAATACTTTACATATATATTACCTTACACATTAAATATGGAATTTTAATTTAATAAAATAAAAAATACAATAAAATGACAAGTGGAAAATATAAATTTTAAAAATTCTAGAAAATATCATGTGTACAAATGAATAAGAAGAGGATATGTAACAAAAAAACTTTCATTTATTATAGGAGATGAATTTACATATACCATCAAGAATACAGTAATAATTGTTGTGTGAACTTTTTTTTTTATCTTACTTCTTCTAAGATTCTTTGCATTTACTATCATATTTAATGTATTTAATGCATTATATATATATATATATATATATATATATATATATATATATATATATATATATATATATATTTCTAAGAGTTTTTTTTTGCATTTATTATCATATTCAATGTATTTAATACATTACGTATATAAATTTAGTATTATGTGATATATTAATTGAACTAGGTATGAGACCCGTATGTGATAAAACAAAATATTAAATATGAAAGTTTTTAAAAAATTATTTAAATTTAAAATTTTAGATTTGAAATTTGAAATTTAAAATTTGAATTTAAAAGAAAATATATTAAATAATATATGAGTATTAATATTGTAATTTATTAATTATTTTCAATTAAAGTAATTATTAATTAAGGTGTAAATATGATGTGTTTATTAAGAATAAATAAAAAAATGATTAATTGATATCCTATAGGACGTAAGACATAATATCTTTGAAAAACTCATTATAAGAGCTACTTAAAAATCTTCTCTAATACGATATTCAATTTATTGAACATTTTGGGTGGGAAGAAGCTCTAAAAAACTGTCATAAACTCCACCAAATAATGTTTTATATGGGGAGAAGAAATTCATTCCTACTTAGATTTCCACTGAACACACTTTCTATCCACATGAATAAGTTGATATTTATTTATTTGTTAACATTATTATGCAAGAATAATAATAATAAAGGTGTTGTTTACATACTTTGCAATGTATATTTTATTAGATCATTCGTTATAGACACTACTAATAATTATAATGATTAGTGTTATATTATCATTACTAACTACCACTAAAAGATTATGATACACACCACTATATCCCTCTTTTTATATATATATATATATATATATATATATATATATATATATATATATATATATATATATATATAATTGTAGAGTGAGATGGAGAAATGTAGAGTGTTGTGGTTGTGCTCCCGATCATAAATAACCACAAAAATTTTCCACCACTAGTCACCACGAAACCTCTCGTGATGACCATATATACCAGATCGTCTTATAAGCAAAAATCATTTTTCACGCCGAAAGACCCTATGTGTATTTAAAAGTTGTGATTTAATTAATAGGTAGTTGAGAGTTTAAGTCAAATAGATAAATTTGTAAATTTATAGGTCAGGATTATAGGATTTGTGAGTTAGTATAGATAACAGAAAGAAAGCTAAAACATAATGAAATAAGTGTGATCGAACATTTCTCTCCAAACTTAAATCCAATTCGAAAACGAAGACACCAAGAGAAAGTGTAAAACATTTTTATTCAGAAACACAACTTCTAATAAAATATGTAGGTCTTTATATATTTTAAAACAATAATGTTATTTATAATAAAAAATCAACTATCGTGTTATTCACTTATTTATGTAATTATTTGCTCTCAATCACCAAGTTAAATCGTCGTCACATGAAAATAAACACATAAGAACTCAAAACCGTGAATGATCGAACTGCGATATAAATTGTGACCTTGAACATCGCATTCAAATTGTTTTCGGGATATCTATAATTAATTTAAGATGCTCAAAAGAAAATTTTTATGTAGTTATTTTTATCCAGAATGGAGAGTTAACACTGCATGTACCTTCATAATGGTGGATACCCACAAGCGTCTTCCATAGTTATTGGTGCCGATGATGGTTGAGAGTGGTTTAGTTCGGACCTTCTGCCATAGCCAAAGGTGGTAGCCAATGGTGATCATAAAGGATAATGGCACCAATATCATGTCTAGATAGCACTTCTTCCATTCCATTTTAATCTGCTGTTAGTTAATTAGCAAAGTCTTCTTCTGGTGTCATAAAGAAGAGATGATATAATATATATAGAATGACTGAATGAGTGCATCAATGAACAAAGACGGTGTTGGACGCAAGGTTCACAATCACAAAAAGCAAATCCTAAAGAAAAAGGGGGAACACCATTTTGATATGCCTTACAATCACTGTGACTTGATCATGCAACGAGGGTTTTGTTTTCATCTAAACTTTTTAGACTTCAATTTTATATATAAAACTTTTGTACTATATATATCGCCCATGTTTTTCGTTATATTTACTAACATGACACCTTGATTTTTTTTACTTTTATAAGCATCACTTTTGGACGTCTTGGTGACCAACACATGAAGGTAAATAACAATGTGCCTATATATGGTGGGATGGAAGGATGTTGGACATTGCCCTCTTTCAAAAAAAGAAATCATACAAAAATGTATAATTTTTAGGATTTATGTTATAAATTGTCTCCATGGATTTTTTTTTAATTTTTTTTTTATATTTAAGTTATAGGTTGTAACTAGTGAGTAGTGATTGCCATTTTTATTCAATAAATTAGAATCTAAAAATTCATTTTATTCATATGCATTTGATATTTTTAATATTATTAATTCTTTTACTTAGAACTCTTTTGGGTTTGTGGTTGTAAAATAATAACTTTACTTTTAAAACTACAATTTTACCCCTGAAGTTGCTTGAGGAAAACGATTTATCAAAAATCACATGTTTAGGGTAGTAGGGTTGTTACACATTGTCATTTACTTTCCTTTTTAAAGGAAATTTTATGAAACCGATTATTTCATTTTAGTTCTATACGTTAGTATCAAACAATACATGTGATACAAACTGATGACAATATGATTGGATTGAATGACTTATTAAAACTAATATAAACACAAAAATATATATATATATATATATATATATATATATATATATATATATATATATATATATATATATATATATAACTTCAAACGGATTTTTTATTAATAGAAGAAAAATGTCTCAAAAGTAAAGAAACCCAAAATACTTACACAAGAAAAAGATAAACTCCATTCCTTAATACTAGGAAATAGGAATTATTATAACAAGATTTCTATTCACATATCTACATCAAAACATTAAAATAATGTTTCGGAATGTTTTTTAAACAAAGTTCCATAAATTTTCGTTTCACATAACCTTTGTGAAATTCATCTAGTTCAGAGACTATCAAATCACCTCCACGGATTTGCTAATGATGACATTACACTTCCATTTCAAGTTTCAACGTGCATTAACACTTTTAAACCATGCATCATCCTCACTATCTCGAGTCTGCTTCATCATCATAATCTCCAACGAAAGGCGACAAGTCTTCAATATTGAATATAACAGACACATTCTTTATCTTATTGAAGATAGAAACATTTGTGCCAATACAATTACTTTTCTAGTTAGATAAAATATGTAATGGTTTGACCACTTATAAACCAAATTAAAAAACGTTGTCAATTAAGTGACAGAAGACTTGTTTAATTATATTTTGACTCTAACAAAACTCTAAATGGTTCATAACAAATATCATATTTTTATGATTTTGAGGGTTGATGAATAAATAATCTACATGTAATGGCAAAGTTGGTGACAATTGAGAAGTGGATGAGCAAAATGATGGGGAGACCGGAGTGAGATCTGACGCTGCATAGTCGACACTCGACACACCAAAACCTATGAAAGGTCAAGCCACCGCACCAAGTGACCCCGACAGTTTCTTGTTTCTTAACAAACGAATCATCATATTTAAATCTAATAAAAAGATTTTTAACTTGGTCCTACTATTGTCACCAGATAAGATGGTGCAAACATTTTCACTATTTTACAATAGAAAATCATATTCTCAATTGTTTAAGATAAAATTTAATCTTAAATCATTTCAATTTTTGATATTTTTAGCATATTAAACTTGTTTATTATTTTAAATTGAATGTTAACAATTTAATTTTCAATCTGATATATTTAATTTATTAATTTAAATATATTGTTAGATATAAATTATATATTATATTTATAGTTATCGATCCACTATATTTTATTTTTGATTTAAAGTATAGTATTAAACTTAAAACGTAGACCCAAATTTATATATCTAATTTATTTATGTGTAACCACTAGTATAAATCATTAATATAATGGGGTTATAGTAGTTGTCTCTTTTATCAAATGGTTTATAACACCATGTATCTTACCTGATAATTAACAGGGAAAATGATTTACAAGTCCAAGAAAGTTTTCAAATTATTTAAAAACCTCAATCATGTTTTGTTTGTCCAAAAAAATTTAACAAACTTAACATTTTGTCTAAAAACCCCAATTAAGTTACACTTTCCTGAAAATCAAACAAGAGAAATAGATGACGTAGCTTATTACCGCATCGGGAAAATGACTTGTTAGACCAACAAAGTTTTCAAAACGTTTAAAAAAATTCAATCATGTTTTTACTGTTAAAAAAAACTCCAATGAACTTAAACAAAACAAAATTGGGATTTTTTTGAATGTTTTGAAACTTTGTTGGACTTTCTAGACAAAAAGTTAAGTTCATTGGATTTTTTTGAACAGACAAAACATGATTGAGATTTTTTGAATGGTTTGGAAACTTTGTTGGGCTTTTAAATCATTTTCCCTAGATCAATAATGTCAAGTCCAAAGCGAAAGCCGGTTCATCATACAACATAAACAATTAACAAGAGACTTGTCCAAAACATGGTTACAAATTAAAACCAATCACAGGCTATAGAGAAGCTATGCAATACAAAATACCATAAGTTCAAAAGTGTTGTCTAAATATTTCTCTCATGCTAATCTTCAAGATACCAAGTCCTAAATTGCTTCAGTTATAACTTATAAACATGAATACATGTCACATGGAATAAAATATATAAGAATAAAATACACATTTACTTACAAGTTTAACGAAGGATGTTGCAACTGATTTTCCTTTATCAGACTTAGTTTAAGTTATGTTAGTGTTTTAACATCTAAGGTGTTAGGTGAGATATTTGATATCAATGTAAGGTGGGAGAGTAATAGCAATATTTATAAAAACTATTGGGTTAATTTAATATCAATATTTGATAAATGTTTAATATCAATATTAACTAGAAACTTAAAAAAACCAAATAGAGGAGTGAATGTATAATTTTTATGTTTGTTAGATTATATTTCACAGGCCAAAGGCCCATATAATCCAGTTCGCAAGCCGAATAGTCTATTTCGTAGGTGGATTATACAGAACCGGATCATTTCGCAAAAGATCCCATGTAAAACCGAAGCTATTACTACAAAATTTTCAAAATGACGTGATTTGAGCATTTCCTTTTTGGAAAAATGTTAAGAAAGGTAGTTTGTTCTTATTTTCTTATATTCACTAACACTCATAAATAACAAATTAATCTTTATTATTATTTTTATTAATAAAAAATAATAATATATTGTCAAGATATCTGTTTGATTTATATGGTTTAAAATAAATAATTATATTTTTATCACATTAGTGGCAATTAAAAAACAAAAAAACATATATTTTATTAAATATCATATTTGCTATAAATGTTAGTGTCGTTGTATTACTCGTATAAACTAGAGTAAATCATCATGTTTTTAATTTATTGCAATTTTGACTAGTTGATTGGTTTACTTCGGGTCACTCGTTTGTCACTGTTGACATGGCATAGGGGTTTTGACGCGGCATATTGACTTAATACTATTTGGTTATATAATGCTGAAGTGACATGACGACGTATCAGAAGCGGAAAGGAAAAATGATGCAAAAGACACTATGTTTTCATTTTTTTGCGATTTTGATACTAACTTTTTAAGCTTTTACAATTTTGACACTCCATTAAAAAATATGCAATTTACCCTATAATAAAAGGTCTAAACCCTACATACATGTAGTATAACAAAAATTTAAATGCAGATGTATTAGTTGTAATAACCATAAAATTCGAACCAATTTTAAACTCTTCAAAAATTTAAAATCAATAGTTAATACAAACTTGTGTTCAAAAATAGCCTAACATCAGAGTTTTCCTAGAAACATAAACAAATCATGAGGAGTTGTACAATCACGCATTCGCCTTGCCACGATCTCCTGATGTACCTGAAACAATAAGCTGAAACTGTAAGCCCGAGGCTTAGTGAGTCCCCCAAAATACCGATACACTATACATAACACATATACAAATAACGACATGAATTGGGTCCACAACTTTGCAGACTGGATTACCCCTGGTCCCACAATGTGAGTCTGGATTGCCTTCTGGGCCTACAGCTCACATATGGATTGTCACCGAGCCCACAGTACGAGTCTGGCATGCCCCACCTAGCCCTCAGCTCGTATCAGGAATGCTCCTAGGTTTGTTGGTTACAGCACGAAGCAGTATCCTCAACCCACCCCACATAATATGTCGACATATAAAACAACTAATGCGCATACAGATAAACACATAATAACACAGGTAGTCCTACAGATCTACCTAACTGTATAATACTGACTCATACTCAACAAACTACCAAATGATGGGATATCATATCCGATGGGCCAACCTTGGTGCCTTAGACCCCTTAGTATAGTGAGGAAACTCACCTCGTAAGTAGTGTTGAAATACTGTAAATCTCTGGCTGCTGACTCACCGGAAATCCCTAATTGTTACATAATGAAATTACTTGGTTAATACCCAACATTATTTCCTTAACTAAGTTTCTTCATTACTCATTAATTCCATTCCTTTTTGTTGGGCCAAAGGCCCACACCAAATCCCTAACTTGTTGGTCCAAGTCATAATCCACTATTTAGCCCAATTTACCAAATTGGGCCTAACCTCCTTATTGGGCCTAAACCCATGATCCACTACCACTAATAGCCCATGACATCTTATTTGTTAAGCCCAACAAAGGCCCAAACCTCGTTAGTGATGGGTTTTGGTCATAAGACATCCTATGTGCTCATACAAACCCTAATGCTTGGATCTAGGTTTCTCTATTGTACATGCTTTGAATCCAAGACTATAAACCCTAATTCTAGCATACATATAATCATATTAACATGAGAATAAGTTTATAGTGTTACCTTGATTGTTATGTAGCAATAACAATCCCAAATCTCCTTGAATTGACTTTGGAAGGCTTAGAGTCACAAGTGTCACTCCTCTAATGGTTCACAAACACCATAAGCAAGAGGATGAAGAGGAGAGAGGTTGGAGGCTGCCAAAAACGTGTGTAAACCCTTACAAGAAGCTTAGCCACGTTTTTGAGCCTTAAGGGGTCTTTATATAGTTGGGCTATTAGGGTTAT